TCTCTTCGCCTATGGCCCTGCGCCTCTCATCGTCGAAGCGACATAGGCATTGCTTAGCGGGCTTTGAGCCTGGGATGAGGTGTAGTGCATGCTCGGTGACGTCCCGTGGTATGCCCGACATGTTAGATGGCTTCCATGCGAAGACATCACGATTGGCGTGCAGGAAGTCGATGAGCTCGCATTCCTATTTGGCCGGGAGCTGGGTCCCGATCCGCACCGTCTTGGTTGGGTCGGTGAGGTCGATTCCCACCGCCTTGGTTTCCTCGAGCGGGTGGAAGGCCGTCGAGGAGGTTGGTTTGTTGTAGTCTAGGACTGCTGGGGTTGATGACTCCTCGAGCCGTGGGAGCTCGGATGAGTTGATGACCGTGGTGGCGAGCTTGAAATGCTCGTGGTCGCATGTGAAGGCGTGTGAGAAGGCGCTGCTCATGGTGATGACGCCGTTCGGTCCCAGCATCTTCAGGTTGAGGTAGGTGTAGTTGGGGATTGCCATTAATTTGGCGTAGCATGGCCACCCCAAGATGGCGTGGTAGGACCCTAGGAAGTCCACCACTTCGAAGGTGAGGACCTTTGAGCGGAAGTTGGCTTGGTTGCCAAACGTGACGGGCAGGTCGATCTACCCGAGTGGGTATGCCTACGCTCCCGGGGTCACCCCGTGGAAGGGAGAGCCCGCTACGCGGAGTTCTGACCGGGGGATGCGCATGGCGTCGAGGGTGTCGATGTAGAGGATGTTGATGCCACTGCCTCCGTCCATCAGCACCTTGGTGAGGTGCTTCTTGCGGACGATAAGGTCGACGACGAGCGGGTAGCGTCCTGGTCTCACGACCTAGGAGGGATGGTCCCTCTGATTGAAGGTGATCGAAGATTTCGACTAGCTAAGGAAGGAGGGGACGGCAATCTCGGCGGCGCATGCCTCCCTATAGCGCACCTTGTGCTGGTGCTTGGACCAGATGGCATTGGATCCACCGAAGATCATGATGCATTCCTCAAGGTTGGGGAAGCCATCTCCGCCCTTGCCCACCACGCCTCCTTTCTTGGCTGCCGCCTCTTTGCTGTCTCCTTCTTTCGGCCTGTCGGCCTGTCGTAGGAAACGTTTGAAGAGCTCGTAGTCCTTGTAGAGGTGTTTGACGAGGTAGGCGTGGTTGGTGCATGGGCTATCCATGATCTTGTTGAAGTGGTCAGGCAGGCCCTACTGGGGATGCTTGCCCACGCGATCAGCTGCAGTGACCAACGCGGTGTTGTCCGGTCAGCGCCGATCCTTTTTGTTCTTCTTGCCCCTCTGTGTGGAGGGCCCTCATCTTGGTCCGCGTGCTTGGCCTTGCCTTTGTCCCTGCCTCCGTTGAAGACCGCTCCGACCGCCTCCTCGCCGGAGACGTTGTTAGTGGCGACGTCGAGCAGGTCACGGGTGGAACGAGGCTTCAGGCAGCCAAGCTTGTGGATCAGGGACTCGCAGGTCATCCCGGAGAGGAATGCACTGATGACGTCCGTGTCGATGACATCAGGGAGGGAGTTGCATCATTAGGAGAACCTGCGGATGTAGTCCCGCAGGGACTCGCTGGGCTCCTGCTGGCAGCTCTTGAGGTCCCAGGAGTTACCAGGGCGGACATACGTCCCCCTAGAAATTTCTGATGAAGACCCTCTTGAGGTCCGCCCAGTCACGGATGCTGTCATGCGGGAGGAATTCAAGCCACGCCCGAACATGTTCCCCCACGCAGATGGGGAGATATTAAATGATGAAAAGGTCATCATCCACCCCTCCGGCTCGGTAGGCGAGCCGAAAATCTTCAAGTCAAATACCGAGGTTCGTCTCCTTGGTGTACTTGGCGATGTTGGTGGGCGGTCGGAAGCGCTGTGGGAACGACGCTCTCTAGGCCCTCAGGGTTGGGACTCCGATCGTCTAGCCTACGACCATGCCTGGGGCGTGTTTTACCGCTCCCCTCAATGGTTCGGCCGGGGCCCGTGTCGCCTACCCTTATCACCGCCCGGTGGACGTCATCATCATGCTGGGCCTGATGCCGGTTGCTGATGACGATGCAAGCATCGTGGTGCGGACCGAGCCATTCGCGTATCGGCGGTCGGTGTGTAGCAGGCACCAGGTTGGACCGCGGCGTAGCCGTGGCCTCCCAAGCCGCGCTTGGCGGCTGTAGCGGTGAGCGGATGGAGTGATCCGTCTGGTGCGTCCCTAGTCCCCAGTGGGGAGAGAGGGCGTGAGTCGGAGTCGCGATGCGGAGTTTTTCGCCTATTGAACGACGGTGGCTTCTACCAGCGCCCGAAGGTTCCGGTAGACCGCCCGCTCCTAGGGGTCGACGGGCACGGGAATGCCACGCAGAAGCATTGCCGTAGCGGCGATGTTCTGGCTAGCCCGAGCGAACTGTGGGGGGTCGTTCCCCCTCGTTCATGATATTGCGTTGGACCTGGCGGGCGTGACCCCGAGCGCCGCTCGCCAGGTCATGCGCATGGGGCACGACGTGCTGCACCGAGCGCGCCGGCGTATGCGGCGGCTGGTTCTACCACTATCGTCGTAGCTCCTCGGCGTGCTCGTGTGCAAGCGCGAGGGCCCCCGCACGTGGGTCCGGAGGGGTGTGAGTCTGTGCAGACTCCGCAACCACCGACGGCTGCCTCGGAGCGTCCGCCATAGTGCACTCCCGGGACGGACGGTGGCTAGGTGCCACATCGCTGATGCTGGAGCCATCGCTCTCAACCTCGTCATCTAGGAGTTCGTGGAAAGTGGTGGGAGCATAGCTCGCCATTCCCACGAATTCGGATGTGAGAGGGGGTGGCGCCAGCGTCCTTCGAAGCCCCCGAGCGCACGCGTCCGCGAGTGATGCGAGGCCATAGGGGAACCGGTCGTACGGTGTTTACGGTGCGGACAATACGGTTCCTCCAGATAATCGGCGGGAGATAGTAAATAGAGAGTAAATAACAGTATGCACATTACTCACAGCGGGGTTTGAACAGAGAGTTTGCTCGGAATGAAGCGCAGGCTCCTCGTCGTTGAAGTCGTCGTGCGTCCCGGAGCCGTTGGAGGGCGCCCCTCTGACGGGCGCCGAAACAAGTGCCTCCTCGCGGAGGTATAGTACGCCGAGCCTGTCGGCGACGAAGTCTAGGCTTCCGAAGAGGAAGGCCTGTAATGGCTTGAAGACGGGTGAAACCCACATCCCAACAGGTGGGAGTGCGGAAAACTCTAGTGAGCCGAAGCGAGTCGTATCGCTTGAGCCCGCCATAGCGAAGGTGGCGGGAAAGTGGGACATCCGATGACCAAAAAGTGTGAACGTACAGCGTCTTCCCCATGGACAGCGCCAACTGTCGGTGCAGAAAGTGACCAACACATAAATATTTGTAGTTTTGTCGTACGTTGTGATCGGATGTGGCCTAGCACTCAATGACACAGGGTTTATACTAGTTCAGGCAACGTGCCCTACGTCCAGTTTGAGTCGGTCGGTGACTTTATTCCGGAGCCCAGATGCTCAAAGTTTACAGTGGGGTTTTATCATGTTCGCCTGGTACGGTAAATGCCGGCGCCCACAACACTGTTGATGCCCAGAGGCATGTGGGAGGAGCCTTACCACGTTTGTCTGGTATGGGAGTTGATGGTGCCCACAACACTGTAGGAAAAATGTCGGCGCTTACAACACTGCTTGGGAAGGTCGCAGGGTACTGTTCTGCAGGTGTACAGGGTACGGTCCTTGGTATTGCGGTTGACTTGAGTGTCCTGCCTTACTTTCTCCGTCCGTTTCCTGGTCCTTACCGAGTGGGCGTGCTCGGTCGGTTGGTCCCAGTCGGCTCTGATTGCGTCTAGTTGGAGAAGAGCTGTAAGCAGGGGTTCGGCGCATCCTCGATTGGAGACGTGGGTCGGATTCGAAAAGTGGTGTTTTGACCAGGCCCTCCGGTCGGAGAGGCCGTCCGGAGGTGGGCCGGTGTCGGAAGCGAGCGCTGTTCCTTCTTCATGAGGTCTTCCGGTCGGAGAGGCGGGCCGGAGTCGGAAGCGTAAGCCGTTCCTCTTCGGCCAGGCCTTCCGGTCGGAGATTGATTTGTCTTTCTGGCCTGTCGTTTAGGTGTTTGGGTCGGCCTATGAGTTGTGTGTTGTTTGCAACGTTGTCTGCTGGACCGAGCCATTGTTGGAAAGCCAATCGATGAGAGTCCCCGAGTTTATAAACCCAACGAGTACTTTTAGTCATGACTTATCAGCCAAATAAGGCCAAACGAATGGGGCAAATAAATATGCTGAGATGAGTCCGACGTGAGCGATCCTACTGTGTTTTCATTCTGCACAATGCTGATCCATGTGTATTTTTGTTCCTAGACTACTAACTAGTGTGGGGTGTTCCTTCCCATTTCGCATCACATTTCATAGTTGTAAACTCACAAATCATTCCATTTCTGACTTACCAGGTATCCTTGCCTGTGCTGTCAAGTTTGTTTCTTGGAGGACATTGAGCCGGAAAGCTGCTTCCAATGGCGGATCTGAATAGTTTAACATACCCTCTCTTTTTAATTTGTTTCACTGGATAGACAGTACAGGCTTGTTATTGGCAACTTGGATGACTTGTGTAAACTGTAACACATTGGCTTTTAAGTGAAGCCAATCATTGATGGTTCTTGCTGGAATGTTACAAGCTTGTTCTGGTGCTCGCATCTAGGCTTCCGCCATCGCTTATCGCTTGCGAAGAAGCCTAACGATGGCCTGGCTGTTCTGGCCTGTCGATGTCGGTGTCTGTTTCCCCGCATAGCGAACGGGATAGCCTAGATGCGAGCAAACGGGAAACGGCCAACTGGACAAGGCTCCTTTTTCACCGATCAACAACAGGAGCCGCATGCTAAAAAAATGGACCCAAGACAACAACAGGTGCCGCGCTGCCACGCCACGCCATTGCCATGCCACCGGTGAACAGCATAGTGGCGGCTCAGCATAGAGACGAGCCCAGCGTTCAATAGAAAGGAAGTGACTCCGAGAGAGAGAGAGAGAGAGGCAGTCCCAGGACCAAGCCGTTCGGCCTCGCGCGATGCAGCAGCAGCCGCCGCCGGCGTCCGTCCGCGCCGTCACCATCCGATTCGCCGACCTCAGGGTAACTAACCTTCCGCCACCGCCGACGCGACATTGCCAGCTCAGCGGCGTTTCATCTCTCCTTTGGAGGCGGCTTAATTGGCTTGGAGCTGCTGGGTGTGACTGACGGCGGGTACGGTGCGCGCAGGATCGGAGCAAGGACCTGGGCGGCTTCATCGAGGAAGGCTTCGGGCCTCGGGGGCTCGGCATCGTCTCCATCGACGACGTGAGTGATGCTACTGTGCTACAGCGTTTGAGGCTGAGATGCAGCATGAGCAGATTTCGATTTCTATTTCTCTCGACTTTGAGCTTACCGCTTACGTGTGGGAGTGCGTTTGCTTTGTGCACGCAGGTACCCGGTTATCCTGATTCCTGAGCTCAGGAAAAGGCTGCTGCGCTTGGCGCCAAGGCATGTTGTCTTGCATTCTCATCTAAGTTCAGGGGCTTCAGGCCCAATCAGGGCGATACGCCATGATTTTGTGCCCTTTTTCTTTCGCTAGCTGAACTCTTTGCTGAAAGACTTCTTACGCTCCCTACTGTTTGTGGCACTGTTTGTTAGGATCGTCAACCTTCCTGATGATGTGAAGAAACAACTGGAGGACCCAGATAGCAGGTCATAGTTTACAGAATGCTCTTCACCAGGGAGCTTTTGGTTGGCATGATTGCTTATAGTGTCTACTTAAATGCTCCTCCTCTCCTCCCTCTTCTTTTCGTTCTTCTTACTTCATTTTCTTTCGGAAAAAATAAGAGCTCCAGAGCTAGTTCGTACAAAAACCTTATGTATTTCGTATGCATTATTATTCGCCTCGCTTGACAGGTATCACTTTAGTTGGAGTCGTGTGGAAGAAAAATTCGAGCCTGGAAGATCGGGTAAACAACATCTTTTCACTCTGTATAATCATGCATCACATTGTATATAGAGCATCCTCTAAGCCTATCAGTTTGAGGATCAACTTTACAATAATGAAAATGACTTAGGGTTAAATGCAATTGGGGGAAAAAAAGTTAGTTGCAACAGTAGTGTATTCAGGTCAAAATGGTCTTTCAATTTTTCACTCAATGTCTTGGAATGCTTTTAGGCCCATAAGGCAAATTTCGTCTGTTTTATGCGGACACAGCCAAAGGCTCCTATTTCGCCAGCCCAGTTTTTGATGTCCCAACAACTGATGATGAGCTTCTAACTAGGTATAATGTTCCTAATCCTAAGTTACCTTTCTGTGTACAGTTTACTTTAAGTATATCTGACATCCCTGTTCGCTTGAGCTTATTCAGAACTACTTTTCGGCCATGGAACAGTGTTTTCCTTTCACAACATTTCAGCATAAGCCAAATTTCATCATCAGCTGCAGCTCAAGCTTGCTGGCTGTATCATTTAAATCTGTAATGTTTGCTACTTAGCTGAACAGTTTGTAGCATTTATGCAAACGAAATTATTACTCCAATTTTTAGGTGTGGCATATTACATATGTTGAAAACCTCTTAGATTTCATTTTTAGATGTTCATATTGATATTTGTTCCTGTTTTCTTTCTGATGATATAACATTTAGATACCCATCATAGTGCCGACCAAACATATGGCCAACTTATCATCTTCCTGAGCTTGAAATAGTTATGTGTTTTACAGGCCATATAAGGTATTCATGCATTTATTCAAGAAATCTTATTGCAAATCACAAGTTGATAGTAGTTACCTTGAACAGAAAATTACTGTTAAACTCTAACGTTGTTACGAATTAAAGTAGTGAGACTTGACACTCTGCTTCTCAGGTTTACATATGTTACGTAATGCATATACATGCATTGCACATGACAAAAGTTCATTAGCTAATTCTGTGACAGCGCATATTTCAAGAAATTCCTTTCCAGTTTAAATCAACATGTTTATATTGATAATATGAGTACATGTTTTACATTTTCTTTAATGGGTGGGTGACCTTTCCCCTCATACCTTCTAAGAGAGGAGGTGACTCCCTGTGCCGTCTTAGGCTCGAAAGCGGTTGGGCGTACTGGTACTAGCAACCAGTGCCGGCCCTAAGGGGAGGGCACGAGGTGCGACGGGCGAGGGCCCATGCTGGGGAGGGGCCCAAGTCTAGGTATATAAACCCACAGGCCCAATAGCCCATTAGGCATCTTCAGCAAACTAATGGAAAGATAGAAGATAGGCAGAGAATTGGCCAGGCCGCCCAAGAAGACAACGTTGGTCTTTCTTTCCAAGGCAGAGAGGAGGCGAGGAACCACGCCACACACTCTGATCACGACTCATGAGTTCACGACGCACCGACGCGCGGAGAGCTGGACCGCCAGAGAACGGCGCACGACCGGGGCAAGGCTCCACGACGACGACATCTTGGTTCCTGCCTCCTTGCGAATTGTATTCGCCAATCAGTTGTTTCAATTCATGTCCACGTCCTAGGTATTTTTTTTCTTGTTCATTTTTAATCAAATTAATTATTTGTATAGTATTCTAGACTTCTAGTATTTTGTACTCATATAGTTATGGTTTCCTTCTAATTTAGGTGTTAGATTAAAAATATATTATTATATTATTTTTTCTTTGCAAGTAAAATTAGCGCCTATATATTATAAGATTTTAGAGGAGCCATGGTGACGAGTTCGCCAGAGGGCCCTCACAATCTTAGGACCGGCACTGCTGGCAACAGTCCAGTTTTGCTAACCGAGCTAGGCTCGGTTCTCTGAACAGATGTTGTACATACTTTACATTATTATTGGTGTCTCTTGGATCTCAAGAAGGTAAATGCTAAAGGTATTAAAGAGTTACAGTGATGCATCGCAATGCCCATTTATTTTCGTCCATCAGAGGATTGTGACCTAATATTAACAGACCTCTCATTCTGTCAATGACTTGCTGTCTTTTTCTTAAGTTCTGAAGTCTCTATGCTAGCTATAGAAATGCCTATTTAAGTGTATGTGAGTTCTTTTTGTAAAAGATGATTTTGTCAACTAGAGTCAAGCCCATGTATAACATTTATTTCAATTGTAGCATTCAAAGCTCTTGGAAAATTGATGTTGGAAGTTGGCTTGATGTTGGCTCATCATTGTGATCGCTATAGTATGTACTACTGAACCATGACTATGTTTAGTAAGGTTTATCTGTAAAACATCAACTCCACTTGGTGCAAAAATTAATGAGTGAGCCATGGAATCTTTTATCCTCTTTTAATGAAATATGTGCACTGCACTTTTTTTGGAGATTTTTTAACTCATAGGACATAGTAATATCATAATAGTAGTATATGCATTTGTGTAAATGTAGAAGCTAATGACCTTTTGAGCATCTTATTATTCATCATGTATTATGAGTTCAGAGAACAGTTGCATACTTTGTTATTATTGATATATGGTGAAATCCAATGCGACACCCAATAATAGTGTATCTTGTACAAAGTGCACCCCTTTTTCAGATATACGTGCTGCAGGGCCTTTTCTCTACCCTGCAATTTGAGGAAATTTCTTCCTTCTGTGATATATCTCGGGGCATGGGGGAGGTCAATCCCCCAGGGGTCGAGTTTTTTTTGTCAGATATCCATTTATTTAGCTTAATAGCCAAATTGTTACTAAGGAGCTGTTTTAAGTTTTTGATATTGAAGCAGTTCAGGTGGTAGGAAACCAATGAATTTTTCTGGTAACCACAAATTTTATGATAATATGCAAAATATGACATACATGCTAACTGAATATCTTCTCTGAACTTTAATATTTTATTTTAGTTACCATTTAATCAAATGAATCAGCGTCTCTGTGATTTTCAGTAATGCAGCAAGGAGTGGGACAGTACATTGGTGAAAGCCTTGAGAAGACACTTGCTAACTCAAGGTGTCCCAAGGGTCGTCTGCTGTACTACTTTCCCAAATCATTTAGGTACACTCAGCAAGCATATGCATACATAAACTCATGAAAATCAAATGACTCTAGTTAGCACATAACCTTTAGGCAAACTTAGAGTTACACAGGTTCATTATATTTTACAGGAGGACAACATTAATACACTGCATGTTTTCACATAGTACATCCTTTGCCCATGTGGATCAAAACTTTGCCCTTGTTTTGGTATCCAAGATTTTTAATCAGATCTAAGATTTCCAATGTCTTCTCAAAAAGTTTATGGTTGTTTGTTATTGCAGCAAACAGGATGGAGTTCAATCTGTTTCGTCATGGTGTGGATGGCATACTGACTATGGATTTTTGACAGGTGACCCATGGTACCCCTATGGGTTGGGTCTGTGTGATAACATGTGATCAAACAAGTGATACACATATTTATTACCAAATTTATACTCACAACCTAACGTATTACTGGAATACTTGGTCTCAGTGCTCTTACTGTCTTCACATTCATTGTTCTCAGATAGTTTTATGCATACATGCAGGACTTACGTGTGGCTTGTTCACGAGAAAATCAGAGGAGGTTCCCTGTCCTGATATTGGAACTGGGCTATATGTTCGGACTCGTGATAATCAAGTTGTTAAGGTTACTTTCTTTCAATGTAGGATTCGCCTTGAGATAGATGACATGCAAATATAACTTACTGAGGTCGTCACTTCACTAAGCATCAAGTAAAAATGATATGCATGTTTGCAGCACTGGGAAATATAGTGTTATAACCAACCTTCGACCGATCATTGCTCATTGTTGTTTAACCAATTGAATGGAGCCATGGACCATGTTTACATTATATTCAGTTCAGAGAGCTAGGTGTTATGTGCTTATTTGTTTTTGAACGGACACTTTAGGTCACATTTGAGGACGATGAATTGGTTTACCAAATTTGGAAAAGTGCTGAAATACTATCAAGAGGTCATCTATGTGCAACCCCACATTGTGTGAAGCTATCAACATTCACCTTTCTAATTGGCCTAAAGGTGTCATTATGTTGCCTGCATGAACGCATGGGCAGTTATGCCTGATCCAAATTTAGCAACTTCTGAGCCTGGCTCCAAGGAAACAAAGTCCGGCTTTTCTTGCTGGTCTATCTTGTACTGGCATGTTTGTGTCTCAGCCAGTGGTTCTATCACCACATATGCAACCAACCAAAGCATGACTTAAGTCTTAAGGACAATCGATCTTAATGGACAACTAACTAAGCCTGCCTCTTTTTGTTTAGATGAAACCAAAACATGTCTACTTTGTAATTGATGGTCCCATGGTTGTAAGTTCTTATGGTTGCCAATGTTTATAGGCTCCCAGCAGCGAAAATGCTTCTGATGTTGATCGGTCAACTTTTGTTCTGTTTATTCAGCCAGATTGGTAAGTGCAGCTTTGTCTTCCCATTTGGCATCTGGTAGAAATGATAGCTCACTTGTACTTTTGCTCTTTCTGTACCAAAGATTGTGCCACCTGTATTGCCAACATTTCTTTGGTTATGTTGTTCGGGTTTCTTCCTCCATCTCAATTGTGAAATGTAATGCACAAATACTAGGATATACAGTTGCAGACTTCCCAGTTTACTCTTTAAACTTTACCCATTTATGCCAATCTAGTTCAGCCTGATTGTGCCAAAAACAAAACAAAAACTGATGGCAAAGCAAGGGCCAGGTCTAATTTATATAGGCTATTTGTGAGTTCTCAATGTTATCCGCACGCATGTTTCCAAAGTGAAA